TATTCTGCATTGCTGTATAATGGTATTGCTGGGAATCGTAGTTCTCTATAGCTGTTGGCAGTCTGCATTGCTGTATAATGTATTATTGCTGGGATTTGTAGTCCTCTATAGCTGATGGTATTCTGCATTGTTGTGTAATCAGGGGTGTGGAAGTTTTTTTTTAAAACCGACTTGTCCAAGGGCTAAAGCGGGGGCCGAATCTACTTGCCCTTCATGACAATCTACTTGTCCCAATACAAAAAATAGTTTTAATCAAAACTAGGGATGCTCCAATGCCGGTTTTTCGGTATCAAGTACGAGTACTGATATTTTGCTTTTGGTATTCGGCGCTACTGAATACCAATACCGGTGCTTCCACTGGCATGGAGCAGGCTTCCCGGGTAATCAGGAAGCCGGTAGCGGGTAATGACATGCCAACCGGCTTCCTGATTGCCAGGGAAGCCGGCTGCATGTTGTTTGGCCGGCTTAATTGTGGTTGGCCGGGAAACCGTCTTAAATAAAATATTAACCGTTCTGTAAGCAAAACTTAATTTTCTGGCAGTGCCCCTCCCGAGAATAGACTCTGGATCCGCCCCTGCCTGATGGAAGATTGGATGGATGAGGAGGCCTCCCTTGCACCTCGTGTCCCAAAGACTCTGGAGTTGGGAAGTCTTTGGGGCAGAGTCTGAGAGGACAGCGAGTGGCAAAGGGCCAGTGGTGATCACACCGTGCAAGCTGGAGTCCGGGCACTGGATCGGGACAAGTGGAGCTGAAGACACTACCAGGCAGGCAGGGTGGCGCAGAGCAAAATCCAAGATCATGGTCAGACAAGCCAGGGGTCACACCAGTCGGACAGCAAGGTACACAAGCAGGAGGCAGATCCAGTAAACAAGCAAGGTCAAGGGCAGGCAGCAATCAACGTGGTCAGGGGCAAGCCGGGTCAGAAGTCAGCGATTATCAAACAGAAGGTCAGGAACACAGGTAAGCTGAAGACAATCCAGCAACTTGGAGTCAGGCAGGCCAGTTTAATTAGAGTGATCTATTAGGAGACAGTGTCACTTGTTGTGCACCGTTTTGGCACGCTTTTGCGTGGCCTTTCCATGGCACACGCGCATACGTGCAAGTGCCCGTTTCCCTCTAGTACCCTGCGCAGTAGTAGATGGTTTCTGACAGTAACATCTGTGAACACAAGATCCCTGCTGACCGAACCACATAGCTTGGATTGGATCTAGAGAGACTTCCCCCAGCAGTGTATCTAGAATAGAAAGACAAAGTAGAATTAGGGCTACAGATCCCTCACAAGTATCATAAGCCCCCATCAGTGATGACAGGGATCCTGTGATGTGGTTGTTATTATTTACAGGATTTATATAGCACCAACAGTGTGCACAGTGCTTTACAATATAAAGGAAGACAGTACAGTTAAAATACAATGAAAGAGAAGATGGGAGGTCCTGCTCATCCGAGCTTACAATCTAAAAATGTTTTACCTGGTTTTAGTTTGTGCAAAACTAAATAAATAAGAATGTTTTCTTTGATGCATGTTGGTGCCTTTGAAAACCTTATCAACATTTAAGCACATTTGCAACCGGTACGCAACATCCAAAATGAATATAATTTTGCAGTACAAACTACGGCAGGTGCTTTGTGGAATATGTTAACATGTATGTTTTTATACAGCATGAGCTGAATTTTACATCCCCCTATTAGAGCTTAGTGGTAAAGTCGTCCCAGAGACTTATATATATATAAGTGTAGTAATAATCCCTAATTTATTACGTTGTTACAAACCATGTTTGACCTGTTTTGCTTTCCCACACTGAGTTAATTTTCCCCCTTTCTTGTCCCTCCCTTATGTTTTTGTCCTTCACAGTGAACCTTGCCAAGTGGCATCTTTTAAGTGTGTTTATTTCAGCCTTTAACATTGTAATTGTTGTAAAAGTATACAGCTCTTACCAGTGTTATGCAAGCTTTCATAAGACCACCCATGCTGGAATGTGCCTATTACAGCATTTCATGTGGCTAAATTTGATGGAAAGATCTACGAGCCACTCAACGGCACAACCTGGCTAATCAGGCCAAATGACTTGAGTAAATACATTGCATTATTTTTTTATTCCTCGAGTGTCTACATAGTGTACACAATTTACATCCAGATAATGAAGCTGAATGACACTGGTAAATACTGTATTTTCTCGGTGAGCCAGGTGTCCGGATCATATACATAATCCTCATTTATCTTTCACAGTTTCATAAACTCTTGACTGTATGCTGTTAAACTATTGTCCATTTGTAAGTCATACATAATATCTGCTGTTCTTGTGGATGGAGATACTGTAAGCTATGGATGTTTTTTTATAGTCACTAGCAGCCAATTGGATTATTTCTTTCTCAATAATGCTCTGGAAAAATGGCACTTGCATGGTGATCGGCATAGTTATTATTATTATTTTTTTTACTTCATTATTGCACAGTCTATGTAGCTAATACTCTCCCCTGCAGCAAGGAAGTCATCCATGCAGTATACAAGTTTGTATGTTCTAACTGTGCGTGGGTTTCCTTTAGGGACCAATGTTTCCTATAGCAATCTTGAACATATTAGTATAGTATATGGCCACTGCCTAAAATGGCCCTTTGGGAGTATGTGTGTGTGTTCTTGGGACATTGGATAATAATTTAGTACTACCTAATTAGGTAGTAAGTTGTACTGACAAAAGCGTAGAAAAAGGAAATGGGCAGAAAAAAATACATATTTGTAAAGACTGTAGGATGTTTTATTTTATTATTCTTCAGGATTCATATAGCACCCACAGTTTGCGTAGTAGTTTACAATATTAAGGTAGGCAGTACAGTTATAATACAATTCAACACAGGTAGGTTAGGAGGACCCTGCTTGTGAGAGCTTGCAATCTAGTGATTTTTGCTGCAAATGTAAATAATAGCTACACTTTAAGGTTCTGTTTACTTCTCCATACAGGGAGATTCTATGCAGGCAGCAGAGGACTCACCATTTTCTGATTCAGTTACCCTGGAGCAAACAACAAGTAATATCGGAGTGTCCAGCGGTCGAGTCAGTCTCTGGATGCAGTGGATGTTACCCAAAGTTACAGTAAAACTCTTTGCTGTGGATCCCGGAAATAAAGGAACAAGTATGGCTTTCTTGAAATTACAAAATTCTGTGTGTTGTCAGTTAGGTACAAGATCTGTTTAGCTGCTAACTTGAAGTGATTGTCAGAGCATCCAGTTATAAATCAGCTGCTTATGGCTGATCTGTTGATCTGTTTTAGACAGTGGTGTCTTACTAAATACTATTCTTTATGCCGCTGCCCTAGCAGTGCATGTTTGTCGTTGTTTAGTTATCTATTTAAATAATGCAAGATCTACCCATGTTTCAGAGGGCACAGGGACAAAACATTTTATATATACTGTATATAAATGTTTTCTAACTTTATTTTTCAGAGATCTGTGTAGTCAGTGAACTGGAGGACCTCAATGCTTCTGTTGATGTCCAAGATGTCTATACTAAAGTGAAATGCAAGATTGAAAGCTTCAACATCGATCATTATAGGAGCAGGTAAAGACAGTTACCTAGTTTCCTTGCTTTTAATGTACTGCTAAAACTAGGCCAGTGCAAGAGTGTTAAACATTATATGCAAAAAGAGATTAACTTCTGGGTAGGTCCCCATAGCTACTGTTCCTCATTGTTAGCCAAATCCCTCTGTTCCCCTGCCTGTTGCAATCTGTATCAATGAATGTTCTATTTTAGCTGCCAGGTAGTTGCACTAAACTTCAAACATCATTCAGATTATGTCATTGGTTAGTTTTTAAAGCTAGTTTATAGTAAAAGTAAATACACTGTAAATACACCATGGTCTACATGATAGGGGATGCTTTTCATTGTCTAAACTTTGTGTGCTAAAATGTGTTCCTCTTTTCCATCTTAGAAGGTTGGAAGATATGAGGTCTCCACTACATTGGTTGGACTTGACACTTGACAGTGTTTTCTTCATAAATAATGATCAGGCTTCCACTGGGTCTTGTATGTCTATGATCCCAGCAATGAAATCTTCCCTGTTTGCAATATGGATGAACCTTCCATTTGCTTCCCCACCACTCTTTGTAGCCATTAGCAGCGAAAGAAAGGCCCTGTGTAAGCTGCAAGTCACTGGGTCGAAGCATCCACAGGGCCATGGGCTTATTGGTCCAGCACTGTCACATGGAATGAATCACATCCTTCTCCATACCCCGAAGTATTAGGCATTTTCTTTGGCTCCTGCCACTAAACAGAACAGCAGGGGGAGCGAAAGAAAGATAACAGAAACCCAACGCTTTGCTCTAAATTAGAAACGCTGAGGTTTGTTTTAAATATGGAATGCCAACACTGTAAACAATTCAGCCTGGAGACACTGGAGATGGAGGTCTCTAAAGACCGCGACATAGAAGAGGGAGAGCATGGGGGTGACCCCATCAGTGGGCAATGGCTGGGGTTGGCAGACTGGCAAAAAGACCTCACGTCCAAAGATTCTAAATAATGGTGTCACCCACCCTGATGGATTTTTAGCATGGTGGAGGTGTTCACAAGAATGATTGAGAAGGATTGCAAATATTTTGGTTAGCAAACCGCAATTCACTTTTTTTCTTCACCTTCAGTTTTGTATTTATCCATTGTGACCACACTTTAGTCTGTAACTGTGCCTTTGCTCTAAAAGTAGCCTCTGTATGCTGTTTGTGGAAAAACTTAGGTCCTTTGGCTACAAAGAAAAACATGGAGATCCACAACCTGTTAATTAGAAACCAGTCTTATTCCTGTTTCCCATTATCTGCTTGTTACATTGACATCACAAACTGATTTCAAGATGGTAGTAATCTAGTTTGCTGAAAATAAATTTTGCTCATCCTTCCTGCTAATGTGTTCTTAATTCCCCATGTGCTGTTATTTGTGCACTGTGTATCCTACCAAGATACTAAACTGAAATTATGTATGCCCTTGTTTAATGTGTGTTCTTGGCTGACAGTTACATTGATGAGGGAATATGGGTTGGGGGTGGGGGACAGTGGGTTACTCCTTTCTATCTGAGAAGTATACTGATCAAGACGTTGCATCAGTTTTATCTGGACACAAGTAGGTTACATCACCCACCAGCCTCTTTTATCTCTCAAATAATTTGTTTTCAACCACTCTGTTCATATAATCTCTGGTCCGTCTGATGTGAAAATTACAAGAGTGCATCATGCAGGAATGTTTATTTATTTCACTTGATAGTGGTTGTTATGTGATTAACCGACCCCTGTCATACTATAAAGCCAGGGAAGTGAGACCCTGTAGTGGGGAAGGCCACAAATGGAACCCTGCAAAAGGTTATCTCTCTAGTCTAATGCCCCTGAGAGATGGAAGAAGCCAGAAGGTGGTTTAATCTGCCACTTTCCATGTTGAGATGGATTATCACTGATGTGCAATACAGGCAAGGGTAACATTGTGTTTATTACAGGCCAGGTGAGAGTTGGCAGGCAGGAGTTTTTCTTGGAATATTCCTACAATGCAAAGAGAAACCTGTGGTGAGAATGTAGTCACTAAGTTACTTATCAAAGCTCTAGCCTCCATTCTGACCCGTGTGATCCTTTAACCTCTGCCAGTGATGACAAGAATAAACTTATCCTTACTAGAGACCTTGTTTGGTATAGTTTTTCCTTTCTCTGACTGTAGTAATGTTAAATGAATGTAAAGGGAATGCCCTCACTCAGTGAATATTAGAGGAGCTTTCCAAGAAGTAGAAAATCATCAATAATCATTGTGCCCTTTAGGTGAAGAGAGTGCATTAATCCCTTTGCTGCTGCAAATATTTGCCCTTGGTTGGCCTTCTCTGTACCTGAAGAAAGTCAGATGGCCAGATGAGAAGTAACTCTTTATAGCCAGGATACAAAAGAAAGGATTTCTAATTTGCATATACGAGTACAATGTCCCGGTCACATTTAACTGTTGGCTGTTGCAGTAAATTATTTGCTTTTTCAGATATGGTTAATGCCATCTGAAAGAGTTTGTTGCTCTGGTATGCCCTGTTGTGCAGTGTTGCCTGCACGAGATATGCTACATTCACATTGTGGTGTAGCAAGAATAAATTCTGCAACTAACATGACAAATGAGCCTGGAAGATACAGATAACTCTAGAAAACATAAAGGAAGATGTCTTCTAATGTTCTACACAATAGTTATGCTGACACATTAATAGCCTAATGTCGGTAAACTCCTTTAAATAATGGTTTATTCTTGTAATCATTTGCCACAAGCCTAATCACGCTTTGCGCTAAATTCACCTATCAAAAAATTTCTTTCTCCCAGATTTATAGTGCGCTGGTAAACTCTGAATGAGCAGCGGTGGATAACTCTTGCTGCATTGTTAAAATGCAAGTTCTGGTATTGTTGGCGTCCCTAGCTGACCAATAATGGACTCAGACTCTCCAGCTAGGATGGTGATATTTACCGATCTGGTTATTACATTTACAAGACACATGGGGTGTTTATCAGTTTAAAATGACATTTTTTGTTTCATCCAAAAGCCCTTAAAATACTTTTGGATGAAAACTGAAAGGCCTTGCTTTGTAATACCGCAGAGGTTCCTTTTCGTCATACTGCTTCCACAAAGTTATCTGAACTTGAAGCAAAAATAAAATACAATGATTCTCTCTCTCATGGCTGGACATTTCTGCCAAGTACTGTGAACAGTTCTAAGATAGGCTGCCTGCAGTAGCATAGAAAAGGCCTATGAGAGATGTGGACCTCTTTCTGTTAGTACAGAGGACGGTTTCAGGCAAGTAAGGAATTTTAATACCCTGGAAATTCTTGTGAGAGAATTAGATATCACTGAAAATGTAATGAGTCATCAATGAACAGGGTCTGCTTTACAAAATACATGTCATATAATGGCTTTATGTATATATGTAGTTGAGCTTGTTTGCAGAGAAAATGAAGAGAACAGTTAGGATGTATAAAGTGCTAAAACCTTTAGCAGCCAATTGGATTTCTACTTATATTAGTCCAGTCAGGAAATTATTGGTTGTTTAGATTGATACACTTTGCAGACCTCATTGTGGTTATTGAACTAGAAAGGAAATCCACCATATTTACCAGCTTATTATTATTGCAATTTTTCTTCTTTCTTCTTTCTACCCTTTGTAAAAAATCTTGAAGTCTTGGTGAAAACTGTTGGTGTCTTGGGCAATATGGCGGCGTTTTCCTTTCATGTACCGACAAGCTGAACAGACGTACCACATTGGTTCGACCCGTCAGCAAGCAAGACCCCTTCAGTAACTTTTCTGGCTTCTTCCCATCTGTAAGATCTGATTTTCATATTGATTTTGATAAAGAACCTCCATCAACCCTTCTATTTCTCCTGCTAGATTTGATCATTTATTTGTATTTATTTACATACCGGTATATGGTATTCCATGATATTATATTATGGAAAATATTTGCAGCCACATTTATTCTATATTTATAAGGTTGATGGAAGTTCTCCTGAATGATGAATTTTAATGCTAATACATTTCTATGGTCTAAGAGTTTACCAAAGAGCCCACTAGCTGCTCTGCGTAGCTTTGCCTGCTCTAATAGCCAACCACTTTGGGTCACGGAAAAAGCTCTTTCAGAATCCTGTTCTTTTATATTTATTTCAGAAATGCGTTCATTCTTCAATATTTATGTCAACTATGGCTATGTCTATCTGTGTGGATATATTCAACATGTAAAATGTGATTTCCCTAACATATTTCGCCCTGAAAATAATTAAAACCTGGTGAAACAAGGGGCAGTTTGCCATGTTTTAAATTCTTGGTGCCCTCTTCAGTGTTTTCTTGATTAATTTATATTTGAATACTTTTAAAATACTAAACCTTATTGTTCTTGGTTTATTTAAGAACTCCAAATATTTATTTTTTGGCTCTACCAGCCCTTCAATTGTATAATCATAACTGAAAGGAAAGCTCCTGTTGTTATGTGGGAGCAGAGGTTTTTTTTCCTGATTCAGACCTACTCTACGTTATGCATTAGTATAATATCAATAATCTTTCCACACAAGGAGATAGTTCCAGTTATAAGACTATTCTCAAATTGCCTTATACAAAAAAAAAGTTGTGTTTAAAAAACGATTTCAGTTTATAAAAGGGGTCTACATAGCCTCCTGACACATGTTGTTGAACTATCTTAAAAACCTAAATTTTAATATAAAATATATTTTTCAGAACTGGTGAAAGAGCTTTTTCTTTCAGACCTAATTAGAAATGTTATTAAAAATAATGCTGTAAATTGAAATTCTATTTTATTCCCACTTTTATTTTTATATTTTTATATACCACATTGTTTTGTCTTACGTATATATAAATAATGTAACATTTTAAACTATTAATTTTCATAAAAATGTTATCTTAGAAACACTTATTCACAATATATTCATGCTCTATTAGATTTCAAGGAAATGTTGGTACCATCTAGCTTTATGATTTTCTTCTTTTTGCCCCTGTAGCATTCTTTCTGCTACCTGCAGTACTCCGATAAATTGGTTTCTTCACATTTTGTCCATGCTTATTTAGACATCAAAACGAACCTGTCTAATCCTTCATTTACTGAATGCAGGTGTAATAGGAATGGTACAGGGAAATAAAAGTAATTCATGTCAAGTACAGTTTCTAGAACCTATAACTATAAAGGCCTTGACTTTTCTATTTGTGTGTTGTATATGTTCTGTTTTACTGCATTACTAATTGTGGTACTGCCTATTGTGTGTTCTACCCCCTTCTGTTCTACACAGACCACAGCAAAACTCTTAGAGAGTTCTCACCAACAGCATGGCTTTATTTCTCTCACATACACCAAAGCTGTGACCAGGAACGTGCGCCACAAGTTGACCACTAGAGGTGAAAGGACTTCTCGGAACTTTCAGAAGCTTTGTGAAGGTTCATCAGATGGTTCTCCTCACTTCCTTCATGAAATCTTAATTTCAGCACAAGCCTTTGATGTTGTCCTATTTTTCCCTTTGCTTAATGCAATCTCAAGTATTTTTGAAGCTAGGCGAGCTCGAAGCCAAAAGGAGAAACATAAGTCATCTGGGCAACCCATGAGGTCACACACACTAACCTCTCGGAGTCTTCCATTGATCTACATCAATGCTAGTGTCATCAGAGTGTTCATTCCCAAAGCTGAAGAAAGACAACCAAATGTAGCAGGTTGGTTTAAATATTAAAGGAGAAATCCTCTTTGTGGATGGGGGGTTAAATGCAAAATACTCTCTCCATATTCCATCTCCACTCCACTCCACTTTACCAGCAATGTTTGCGCCCTAGTGAATTTCAGGTTTTACTCTGACATATCATAGACAAATTAAGCTTTTGGGTGAGTCCAAAAATATGGCACTAGACGACTTGAACAGTGCGGTTTAAATTCCATTTGATTGTCTTCAATAAAACCACAGGAATTGCAATAAAATAGCTTATGTTCTTTGGACTTTGTGTCCCTAATCATAGCTGTGATTAGGGATGCTTAAGTTTGAAATGCCCATGATGTTAGTTTCATGCCATTTACTGCTGTTTAATGATAGTGTACTAGAATGGAATTTAAATCGTATTTATCTCGTGTTGAGCGTTGACAGTTTTTCTTAAGCGATCCAAAGTTGAAGAAATTGATTTCTGTGGTCAAATTTGCATTTAGATATATGCAAAAACGTTTTTTAAAAACCTTTTGAAACAGGTTTAAACTTACCTGTGTCTTTGCCGCACGCTCCCGTCCGAACATCTGAAGAGTCTCAGGCGGCCGCAAAGGATCTTGGGGCGGACGCATGTGCAGTTCAGATGTTTGGCCGGGAGATGAGGAGAGACACACAAGGTAAGTCTATGGAGCAGAGTGCACCCGCACAGACTCCGTAGGACATCAGAGGAGAGAAGGACAGAGGAGTCAGCGTTGGATCGGAGACCTGCACCAGCGCTGGAGGGACATCTGAAAACGACAGGAAAGTAGAAGATGATCGGATTAAGAGGCATCATTTTAGGTAAGTCTTTACACTAACATTGGGGAGGGGAAAAAAATATCCTTTAATGTCACTTAAATATTTTCAGTCACTATAAACAGGGTAACAGCTGGTGCAAAATGGTGGGTACATGATTTGTACTCTTGCACACCTGGTACACTATCCAAATTGAGTTAATATGTTTTCACTGTTTTTCTGTAGGCTTTCCCTAGGTTACTAAAATATGGACTTTCTGTTGCTTTCATGAATTAATGCATAATATGCAAGTGCTCTATAAATACAGTTTAGATTGAAACTAAAATATCAACGAATGATGTCTAGAAAGGCCAAACCTCATCGCTCCAATTCCACCTCCGACTGTACATCAGTATGCACACCAGGTGCAGGCTGCAGTGTGCTCCCACCCCTTAAACAATATCTCTCTAATCAGCCGCACAAGATCGGAATACGTAAAATCCAAGTTTATTGTTGTAATTCCATACAAAGTCCAACATGTCAGGTAAATACAGCATATACACCACCATAGGATCTCTCCCACTTCAGCGCTTCTCATGCATTTCACCACGTGGGCTTAATCATAGAGATGTCTCTATTCTACCAAATGCTTACATCTGCTGGGTACCATCCTGTCCCACTAGTGATACAACTGTAGTTAACCCTTGGAGTTAACCAACTTGGCTGGAATCAATGAATGATGTATTTAATTTGTAACCTCTTTATTACTTCATTATAGGAGCTTATATTCATGTGAGAGTTCTGGCCTTGTTTGTGTCCTTTCTGTCCTCTTTTAGTAGAAGGGAGGGTGTGTATTACTTGTTTTTCAAATTTACATATTTTTTTCTTCTCTATCAGCCAATCAAATTATGAATGAAGATACCTTAGTGCTAAAAATTGGATCAGTTTCCATGGCCCCACAAGCAGACAACCCACTCAGTCGGAGTGTATTGAGAAAAGATATTTATCAGTAAGTAATTTGTTCATCATTCCTTTTTTGTCTGGTAAGGTTTTACTTAAATATAAATTGTATTATTTCTGTAGTGTCCAAATTGTTATTCTGCGAGTTTCCTTTACAGGGGGTTGTTGCACTGTTTTAGGTTTTGGTTGTTGCTGGAAAGCTAAACCACTTGGATGTCTTGGATGTCTTCTTTCCTGGTAAAAGCTGTTAAATATTAAAAATGTTTTATAAAGTGTATTTTGAACACATAAGTGTAATTGAACACTGATTTAGATGAAAAGAATATATTTGTACAATTTTCCAGCAAAATTTTAGTCAGCTCAAGCAGGTGTTTACTTAAAAACTCTTATGCCCGTAGGAATGTTGGGTGCTCTTTAGCTGGGTTCCAAGCTCCTAACATCTGCCATTATTGTTTCAATAGCAGGCTTTTCTGAAGGGTGGCTACTTTTGTTCCCCATGGTCCCTGGGTGTGTTGTAAAGTAGCCACCTCTCCAAGTTTACTACCCTGATAGACTACAATCTCACATTTTGTTCACTAATTTGTATTGAGATAGTAGTCCATCACAGGAGCGAGCTTGGAGCGGTGACTACTTTACAACACACACAGGGACCATGGGAAACAAAAGTAGCCACCCTGCAGAAGGAAGGACAGTGTCAGCACCAATTCAAAGATGATTTGAGGATCTACAGCCGAGTGATACACAAATAAACTACATTGATGTTAATAGTTAAGATACTTAAATGCATTTTTAAGATTTAACTTTTGAGTTTAGTATCACTTTAAGCAAAATTCAACTTTTATTCATTATTTTCAATTAGATTGTATTTTGGCTAGTAGTCATTTTTATTACTCTTTTAGCACATTACTATACCCCATCTACGAGATGAGGTGACATAACTGAAAAAAATGTCAGGTGTAAATATTTCCTTTCAGTATATTTGTCTCCTGCCACAAATCGTTGTAACAGGACAGGCTGCGCTATTTCCTAAAGGTTTCAGACTTCAAACAAAAGGATTGACAGGAACACTTTGTTATGATTACAACCCCTTTTTAAGCATTATTGTATAAAAAAAATGAAAACGTGCCTATTTTATATATGTTTTTAAATATTAGCATCTGAAACATAGCACTGTTGCTGTAGAAATATCATGCTCTGGCTTCTGTCACCTTGTGATTTAAACCATATTGATCATCAGGGCAGGCAGGCTGGCAAATAGAGGCATTCAAGATCTCGGTGAAATAATACATGACTCTAAATGAAACTGGCACGCTTGCCAGACTTAAAAGCACGCACGTAAGAGGTACTGAGCGAGAGAAGTCACAGAGAACAGTCAGCTGTGTAACTGTGTATGCCGGTCGTCCTGGAGAAAAGGCGGTCTGCTTCTCAGATGTGGAAGCCTTCGTGTTCCAAAGTGTTTCCTACTGAACTTCAACAGATGTTGTTAAAATGAAATACTTTTCAAACTGTAAACAATTCCCATTCTCATACATGGCAATCCTTTCACTTCCTGTATCATATATCGGGAGGTGGGGGTGGGTATCCCTCAATGCCGCCTTTTTACTAAAGCTGCTGCAGCCGGCAGCAGATTGTTAGAGTGAAAATGGTGCAGCACGATCCGGGTTCAAAGACTGAACTGATGAGATTTGCAAGTTATTGACCAAAACGTAACATTTTAATAGCTTTAGTCGAACTTCAAAGAGTTACTAGATCGTGTCTCAGTTGCCTTTGCTGTCTGAAAGTGAGCTTGAATCTGGAAAGGTAACTTGTTAAACTTGATTGTATTATTTAAATAAGAACACTGTCCCTGGAATTAATAAACACTCATTCAAAATCTGTCTCCCGTTCGTGCAACAAATTGTGCCACTTTGGACAGATTCTTGTAACTGTCCGTCAGGTGTATAGCCCGTCAATCTGTCTGGGACTCAATACTTATATGTACACAGTTTACGCCGATGTGGAAGAGGTCTTATTTACTTCAACTTTTCTTATAACCAATATGATGATAATTCTTAATGAACTTGTCACATCTGTAGCCCCAGGATGTAAAAGTGTTGCACGTAGGAAATACCAGAATTTGTTGGACATATCAAGAAAACTGTTGCAGGGATTTCGTAAATTATGGCGCTGGCCATAATGGAAGAACTGCTTAATTGAATTGCTCCCCTGTATATCTAAAACGGCCATGTTTCATAACATGCAGATAACAAAAACAAACCTTTTATTACCATGCTGCTATTTGATGCATTTGCGTTGGAATCATACATTCTGTGCCTGGTCACTTGTGCTCCTCAGCTTGTTATATCTGACTAGATGCAATTGTTTTGTATTTCTGTCAGCATTTGGAGTTGGTACTAGTATGTTGTTAATTCAGGGGTTGGATTTTAAATATTATCCACTTTTCTATTGCAGGGAAAGCAGCCTCCAATATATTTAAAGATCACAATTTTAAAAAACATCCTCTTTTTTTATTAGAGATGTTTTTTTTTGTTTTGTTTTTTTATCGGAAAAAAATAGATAACATGCTCTGGAGTGCTTTCGGTTTATATTACTTGTGGCTTCCCTTTGGACTCCATTGATTGCTGCTTTTGTGTCAACAATTGAAGCAGCTTTTTTGCATCATAACAGCCACAGACCTCAGAAACCTATTGCCTATATATTATATTGTGTAGTATTTGGTTTAGAGTTTCAAAAGTAGCACAGCATTCTACCATGTTTTCTTTTCAGATTATTTTACACTTTAACAGGCAATGAAGACTACTATGGGAAGAATATACAGTAGCATTTTTAGTTTAAAATCTGTTTCTAAACTTTTTGTGTAATATACAGTCATCAATCCAGCACCAGCATCCGGTGTGTTTTTAGTAACTTAGAGCTGCAAATTTAGATAGGTTGGATCAGGACTTGCTTGTGAAATCAGGGTACTAGTAATTCACTACAAGAACATTTGTATCTTGGTTAGTAAGAAGTGAAACTCTTTAATGGTTTTATTTGGAAGGTTCAGAAGAAAGCTAAACCCCAATTTTGATGATCAAAGGGTTATCGTTAGCTTTTTAGCAGTGGATGTGTAGTACTTAATATATGGTATTTGAGGTAAACAAACAGATTAGTAATATATTTTTTATATCATTAAAAGAGAACTATGGGGTAAGTGTTTTTCCCCATAGTTCTTTTTAGGGTCACGGGAGGACATATACTCCCGCACTATACTGGGGAGCGTTGCAGCCGGGACGGATCCCGACAATACTGTTGTGATCCACCCAGCTGTGTGAATGACAGCTGGCCCTGCCTATCTAGAGGCAAAGCCAGCTGTGCCCGCCCCTCCCCCATTTGTTCCTGCACTCAGCGCTGGAGGATCGGCGAGGGGACGGGGGGAATCCCTGCGGGGAGCGGTCACTGACAGTCACCGCTCACTGCGGGGAGACGATCGGCAAGTGAGCGGATCGGCTGCATGTTTCTACTTACTTCCCGATCAATAGAGCTGACCTGTGACAGCTTCTTTGAGAGCTACAGATTGCTTGTTTGCAATGATTGTAAAGGCAACAAAATATTGGGTTAAGGGCCCCATCATTTTTCCCAAAGCCATTTGCTTTAACATATTCTGTAGAATCAAAAATCAAAAGCTAAGTCTGATTTTTATTACAGTAAATATATAATAAACAATGATGAATGGCAATCACTTTTGTCAGTTTATGTCTATGGACCTCTATAGATATTAAACTTTTTGCATAGTTCAGAATATGTAAGTACTTTGGTGTGCATGATCTGGGAACAGGTTCACTTTAAAGTGGTCACTGAGCTTAGGTAACAAAGAAAATTTACAGGTCATCACAGTTAATTTGCAGGCAAAAAAACAAAGGATTGTTCATTTAATTTTTGAAGACCTGTTCACTGTTGATGCATCCATATATGATTTTATTAAACTGTTGTAAAATAGTGTTATAGCAGCAACATAATTAAAAGCAAAGATTCTCATCTAGACATTCACACCCAGCGCACCATGAGCATTCTTTGTTCAATATGGCTTACTGCCTGTAAGACTTTCAGTGCCATAGATGCCTTGGCTTCATCTGTCTGACAGTTTTATTTATGGATAACTACAGCTTGTCCTGAGACATTCAGACTTGAGAAGTAGTCTTCTTGTGTACTTTTATGTTCTTAATGAAATAAGCCCCAGACACAAGCAAAAAGAACACAAGGTTCATAACATCATGAGCAAAACTGAGCCAGATCTCCTGCTGTTCCTCTCGAGTGAATAAAGATTAAAACACAGTTTATCTCTTACATGATGACATAGGTGATGAATGGCCTTTTCTTTTAATAAAGTGATAAAATATGTATTTTACATGGGCAAAAGAATTCAAGTGATCTAACTTTTTAATGAGTTTTTGTACTCTCATATGCCAATGTAAAATACATGGTATGTATGGTGCAAGAAGGTCTCTTGGCACTCTTTGTTCTATTACAGACCTTCCCATCTTTGGTCTGCTCATACCACTAATCCATCTAAACTCAAATTCTATCATCACCTGGCTGGGTCGAGGAACCTGTCGCACTAAAAGATGTAATCAGACAATAACAATTTAGCTGCCAGATTGTATATGATCTAGAGGTCTGATTGTTATGGTTTAATGCAGTAGTAGGCAAACACCATACAAATCCCACCATGCATCTGCCTCAGATTGTCATGCCTGTGGCTGTTAAACTCTGGTAATGCCTTATTCGACTTGGTAGTTCCACAACAACTTGAGTACCAAGGTTGCCTTTCCCAGGTCTAACAAGTGCTGTTCAAATATTTAAGTATGCTTAACATGCATGACGATTTGTTTGGAGAGGGAAGGGGTAGGTTCCTGTTGGCCCCTCCAATGGTTCCTCATCTTCCGGGGCAGTAATAACGGTCACCTGGAAAAAGGTCTATCCTGATCAATCAATTTGGCATCAGTGAATGTAGTTATAACAGATGTACAAATATATTCTGTTAAAGACAAAAATGTCCATCACCTCTCTTCA